TCTGAATATCGCAGTTTTTAAGATAGCGATATTATTACGGTGTATGGCAAGCTAGATATCGTAACAATGTAGCTGGCTACAACATAACGACAAATTTGTTGCTAATCGATGGCTATGTATTGCAGCTTTATAGCTTTATAACTTTATAGCTTCAGATCGTAGGTATGTAGCTAACTATAACATAATAACAAATCTATAGCTAGTCGATAGCTACATGTCGTAGCGCTTTAACTCATTACATAATTACGACATATTGATAGCTGCATATCGTAGCTTTGTAGTTAGCTAAACCATAATAAGAAATCTGTAGATAATAGATAGCCTCATATCGCAGTGCTTTAGCAAGCGATATCATTACAACACTTAGACTGTTAGACTGAATTAGCTAAATGCTAATGTTTATAATATAATTTAATATTGCAACTCTGAATTTCATGTGTTACCACAATCATCAGGCAAGCAGTAAGAATTTAATTTTGCTACGATTTATTTAGTGGACGTATCGGTTTATATTTGTATTTTAGTTACGGGATGGAAATTGTTTAGTAGTTAGGCTAAAGTTATCATTAATTTTTTTTTAGTTAGCTTCCTTAATGTATCAGTTAAAGAGAACAGCTCTATCGGAATTACTAATGCAATACTACATTTTTCAATATTGCTCTTGAAACATTACCATCATATTTACCTCCATGATAACCTTTCCGTATAACATCAAGGCTATTAACCCATTTTTGAAAACCTGCCCAGAGGGGTATAATTTAATTACAAATGTGATTTACCAACTGTTACCAATTACCAATTTATAATCTGTAAATTTAATAGTTACTAAAGTATCAAGAGTAAACTCATAAATAATCTTTAATTAAGTAAAAATTTCATTAGCAATTGCAAACTTTGTTTAATTCTTATTAATCATCATTACCTTTAAATAACTATAAACAACTAATAAATGGTATTTAATGAAGTTAAGCTAATTTTATACCATATTCTATACTCTATTACATAAAAGTACTAGTGTCAAAAAGAAAAATGTGTTCAAAAAAGTGAGGCTAAACAAAAAATGTTTATTAACAATAAAGGGGCTTTTGATATTCAGGCATTTTGAAGACTAAAATCTTTTGTATACAAAGTTATACAGTCATATGGTATCATATGGTTATAAAAAGATAAATGTGTCCAAAAAATAACTGTGATTAAAGTTTGAAAACAAAAAAACCCCAAAATTTGGAGCCACCTGCTTTGATTGAGAGGGGACATGTGCATTTAAAAAATATTTTTGTAATTTTATAAACCAAATCGAAATTCATTATGAAATTATAAGTTTCTTAAAAAAATCTTATGTTCTTTAGAAGATATGGTCATTTAAAATACAAAACCTCGTCATTTTTTTGTAAGGGGGAGGGGAAATATATCGTTTTTTGGTCATAACTTTTGAACTGTAATGTATATCTTTTTAAATGTTGAATTCTTTGAATAAAATTTCATTCACTATAAGGTTGTACAAAAAAAAGTTTTAAACTTTTTTATTTGCCATATTTGGGGCGGTACCCCGAAATTGTTGTATTTTCTATGTTCCCGAAATAATTTTTTTTTTCGGCAGAACATCATTGTTTGATATTGGTATTAGTATGTAAAAATTTAAGGTTTGCAGCGTTTATGGAAGTTTCTTCATTTGAACATGATAATTTCATATGGCCCGTCCCCTTTAAATGCCTTTTCTAAAAAAAGGGGCCACCTGCAGGATTTTAATTTTTACAGTTTTGTGTAACCTAAAGGTTTCTTAAATAGAATCTATAAAACATTTGGAATGTTCCAAAATCAAACCTAAAAGGTTAATTTCTGACCTGTGTATATGTTTAAAAAATATAAAATATAAAATTAAAAAATGATATAAAAATATAAATAATATATAAAATATATAATTTTTATATCGCTTCTTTTATTTAACAGTTCCTCAGGTTTCGTCTACGATATAATAGTAAATTCTCATATAGACATAATGGGCATCTTTTATAAATGTTTGAGTGGGGGGGAGGGGTATAGACTTTAGAATATGTTTTTCAATCCCAGACATAGTTTGGTATGGGCGGTAGACTTGATGTAGTTAACATTACTGAATGATGATTTGTGGTTATTTTATCAGGTTTTCCATTCACCTTTCATTAATCCAATATAAATTTTATTGGGTTGGTTTTTAGCTGTGATGATGCATTTGTAAATAATGTTTGTGGATTTGCATTTACCATTAATGCGGCATTCTACTTTATTTTGAAAATCGCTTTTTGGGTCATTATTTTCAATTCTTGAAAAGATAATTTTTTGTTGTAGTTTTTTATAATTGTTTCGATGTTTTATTATATTTATATATTATATTTCGATATATCAGTGCAGCTGTAGCTTACCTTTACATTGTTTTTTTTTTTTTAATTTTGTGAAGTTTGTGTGTCTAACAAAAGTAAATTTAAAACATTTAAGCCGTATTTGTGGAGACGTTTTTGTTAAATGGGGGGTTGAACCATTTGATATTAAGTTTACAATTTTTGGGTGTTTTTTCTTTGATCTGATATTTACGGGAGCAGTTTTTGTATCTGCTATTTTTAGTGCTTTTAGATTTTTATTTGTTTTTAGATTGATTAAATTTAACTTTAAATTTTGCGAAAGTCTGTTGCATATTAAAGTAGGTGAGTACTTGATAAATTGTGGTGAGTGATTAGAAGACGTGTGGATGTGTTGAAAATTACCGTTGGACTTTATGGTGGCATCAAGGAAGTTAAATAATTTAAGATTTGTTTTTATATCTATTGGAAATCCTTTATCGTTAAACTTTGGAATTATATTTTTTCGCATTCGCTCCATTTCTTGGCCGTTAGAATTACGAATTATTAACAAGCCATCATTACGGTAAAGTTCTATGTTAGATTTTATAATTATATTGGATAGTTCGCTGAGTATGTAGATCCCTACAAGTTCACAAATATCAGCTCCATTGTAGCTGCCCCTTTATACGTCAAAACTTTCATGATTCAGTTTTTTTATCCACGTGTTGTTGTTGTAGTAGAGTTGGGATTTTCGACTATTTTATAATTCTAAGTTGTTTGTCTGTTATTGTGGTTTGTTGTGTTGCAAAGGAAACGGCTTTATTCAATATTTCGGTATTTATAGATGGATAAAATTCATTTTTGTCGAATAGGATGAAGAAGCAACTATTATTGTCTCCGATGCCGTTAAATCAATTAAAACATTGGTGCTGTTTTTCCATTGATTTACTTGTAGACTATTTCTTAAGTATGTGTTAGTAATGTGTAAGATATTTTTGCTTATCAATCCATTTTCGTTTTGTGCTGGGTTAATGAGACGGCAGGTTTTGGTTTAAAATTTACTTTATGATCTTTCCAGGTGATAATTGATGGAGATTTTACAGGTATTCCATTGGGTTATTCAAATTTAATTTTTAAGCTATTTGGTTGGCTTTTAGTTTGACTGATTTTTTTAAATTACTCGGTGCTTTTTTAAAGGTTTTTGTTACATTTTTGTTTATCAGTTTTTTGTTGTGACTTGAAGTGTAGAAGTTGAATACTACATCTGAAAAGTATTTAAAAAACAGTTTTGGTGTTGAAAGTTGAAATTGAAACCAAACTATTGTTTAAAAACCATTTGATATTTAAAAAAAAATTTCCATGTCTTTTTCGGTATAGCTTGTCAAAGCTTTATATGAATTATTTTATTTTGCAATCATTATTTGATGGAAATACATTTCTTTTTTTTTTCTTCTCCATTCTATTGTTATGCATTATGACTTTAAAAGAATTGTATTTTTTAAAATTTTTATCTTGTACCATTTTCTCAAAAAGTAGAGAGACAATTAATTGATAATTGTCTTGCAGACAATTAATTGATAATTTTTCTTCTACTGTAATAATACTAATAGTAATATTACAGTAGTAGCAGTAATAATTAAAACAATAGGTAATATTATTACCTAGTATTAATAGGTGTCACAATATAATATAATCATGTATAATAATATCATTGATTGTATCTAGTTTTGTTTGGATATATGATATTTCGCGAGGTTAGAACTATTTTGTTTTTCCGAACCGAGACAATCAAGTTCAAAGTTTTAATTGGACCTGCAGACCAAATAACAAAAAACTCAAACAAAACCGGTTTGTATTAATTTCCTAAACATGCTACCACAGTTTTAAAGAAATTGTATTAAAATATTTAAAGTGCAGGTGTCTGAATTACTACATCCCGATTTGCAGATATAACAATGTAACACACATTTATTTTAAAAAATACAGTGTTCTTTTGTTCTACCTCCATTTTTTGTTAAAAAATATAATACAAACTAGTATTTTTATATATATATTGTGGCAAGATGCAGTGGCGGATTAAGACTTTATGGGGTCCGGGGCTATTTTTGTTTTTGGAGGCCTTTTTATGGGCCAGGGCCTAAAAATGACTAAAAAAAAAAAAAAGGTCTTCTGAAATTTTTGAGTGCTTCTAAATTTGAGAAATTTAGAAGCTCTAAATTTCACAAATTTAGAAGCCCTCTTCTTTTGATCCGGCACTGGCAAGATGATTGTATACTTTGGCAATTAAAGTACTATAAGGTACATACCTGTTTTATTAGAAAAAAAATCTTATTTTACACTAGTGAACAAATAATATAAACACGCTATTTTGTTTAAAGTTCAATTCAACAGAGAAGATAAGTAATATATTATCTGAAGTATGTACCAAGACACAACGAAGTAAAACTTTAATTATAAGTTCTAAAAGCATAACATCTAAAATATATTGCACAATAAAAAGATATCTTAAAGAATAATTAGTTAACCAGAACCTGTGGTAAGGCCATTAAAAATATAACATTTCAGTAAGAAACCTATTGTATTTGACAATACAATAAATCATTTTAAAATACACTTATAAAACGCAATATTTACAGCAGACATATACTTGAACAGATTTTGATGGACAGAAAACATTAATACCTCTGCCATGACTAAGATCGTAGATTGTTAACTCATGCTTTGGAAGAAACATTATAACATGATTTTCTGTAGTATACATGATCTGAATGCTAGATGTTTTATCTAGATGTAAGGAACAAGCTTAAAATTAAAAAAGTCTGCAATAGCTAAAAAATGTTTAAAATTCAATTTCTTCATTTGGTAGGCACAATAAATTTTTTTTATATAAATATGAGCAATAACATGTTTTACCTTGTTAAGTTTTGTTGTTGTTTTTCTGTCGTAAAAACATCATTTTGGCGTAAATATCTTTTGATTGGATAAAACGGAGATAGCACATTATAATTTTAATTTTTAAAGGTATAGTAAGTTAATTAATTTTTTTTTACTAATTATTTGTAAAAAATAAATATTTTATCCATAAAAAGAAAAAAAATTGATCTAACTCAATTTTTTTGATTTGTGGAGAACAAAATAATTCTAACCTCGCGACTTGATAATGATGTTTTTAACTTTTTCAAAGATTTTTGTTGTCTATTTTAACATTTATTTGAATTCACTCCTATCTGTAACACTGTTAGGGTTAATTCTGCAAATATTTGCGCATTGTTTTTTGTTTTTTTTAATAAAATGATAAATGTGAGTGAGTTTTTGATAAATTTTTTTAGTAAAAGAAAACTCGCCATTATTTTTGTCTACTTTAAATAAACTTTAAAAAAAAAAGTCTACTACTGTAATAATACTAGTATTATTATTACAGTAGTAGCAGTTAATAATAATCAAATTAAAAGGTAATATTATTACCTATTATTAATAGGTAATAATATTACCTATTAATTTAATTATTAGTATTTTTTACTGCTACTACTGTGATATTGTTATTATAGTTTAATTTCTCTAATTGGAATCTCATTAGTTCGAAAACCGTTTAAAAGCCTAAAACGTACTGAAATACAATCATAAAAAGTCATAATTTACATTATTTCCCAGCGAATTCGGTTGGAGAGTTTGACTTACTTGAATAGAAAATATGTAACTTAAATGACAAAAATTTTATTAGCAGAAAGAGAAAGTAAATTGGTGGAACTAAAAAAAAATTTTTTAAACATGCTATAAAAACTTGCGTAACAGACAAGTTGTATTGCAGTATCCATCGAACTGGGGCAGATAAGTTTAGCGTAAGTATATGGAGACAGCTAAAAGTTCGATTTTCGATGCAGCTTACACTTTATTTCCAACGGACACTGATCCACTGCTGCAATATTTGCACAACTTTTGAAAAATCAAAAGGAATTAAGAATGTTTTACACAATTGACTCGTGTAATAATTCCGGGAAACACTTTAAATACTTATTTTTATGCTTTTTTTTTTTTTTTTTTTTTAATTTTATTTAATTTTCCGTTTTTGTTACAATTAAATTCCGTAATATAATACCAGATACTCTTATTCTTTCAAAAATAAACCAGTTATAAATATAAAAAATCAAAGACAAAATAATAGGAGTTAGTTATACAAAAATAAATAAAAACGCGGAAAACTTGCAGAAGACCATTAAATCTTATCATCAAGAACCGTTGTAATTATGTTTTTACAATATTAAATTCCTATAATAGTGTTAAAATCAAAACTTAATTAACTAAGGTAAAAAGTGTTAAAACCAAAAACTTTTCAATGGAAAAAGACAAAAACAAATAAACAAACAAACGAAAAAACAAAGCAGTTTAAAAGAAATCATTAATAAGATTTGTATACTTTGAAATATTATTTTTTATTAGTTTTTGAAAGCAATTTATGTTGTTTATACCTGGTAAATTACTATATTTTGCTAAGATTTTATTCCAGATATGCGGAGCACGATACGTAATTTTAAATTGTTCTTGTTTAGTTTTGCACAATGGTTCAATTAAGCCTGTTGTGCGTAAAGTATATTTAATGTTAGGTTTTATTTCATAAAGATCATTAAAAATTGAGGGGCATTGTTGAAATTTACTTTTGTACATGAGACGTAAAATTTTATAAACGTTTATATCGTATAAGGTAAAAATATTCATAATTTCGAACAGTGGTTTTGCATGTTCGTTTTTATTTTTAAAATTCATTATTCTTAAGGCATGTTTTTGTTTTCGATAGAGTGTTTCAAGCTTGCTTTTAGATGTACTACACCACGCAATATATGCGTAATTCAAGTAACTTTGTAAAAAACTGAAACAGATTTGTTTTAGACGATGCTTATTAAGTAAATCCCGTGACTGATATAGAACGCTAATACTTTTTGATATTTTGCTGCCAATATAGGCAATATTGGCAGACCAAGAAATTTTGAGAACACCAAGAAATTTTGTGACTCTTTCGCGACTAATTTCTGTGTTTTCAATAACTAGTTTTGGAAAAGAAATAGGAATTTTTTTTTTTTTTTTTGAAAGGGTGGAATAATGAGAACTTTGTTTTATTTGAATTAATAGAAAGTTTATTTGCATTGAACCATAGTGAAATTTTATATAACTCGTTGTTCATTCATTTGTACGAAGAGTTGAGGTATATCTTTTCCTGAAATAAAATAGTTTCTGTCGTCAGCAAACATTATTGTGTATTATTGGCCCAAGAATAGATCCTTGTGGAGTACCCCAAGGATCTATTCTTGGGCCTCTACTTTTCCTAATATACGTGAATGATCTCTGGAGAGCGTCAAATATATCAAATATTTGACGCTCTCCAGAGATCATTTACGTATATTAGGAAAAGTAGAGGCCCAAGAATAGATCCTTGGGGCACTCCACAAGAAATTAAAGATGAATTTATAAGTTTTTCATTTCCGTAATATATGGACTGTGTACGTTTACTCAGGTAATCTGCTATCCATCTGCAGGATACGCCTCTTATGCCGTACATCTTTAGCTTTTTTATCATTATTTTATGATCCACTGGGTCAAAGGCCTTGGAGAGGTCAATAAACACGCCTAAAGTGAGTTCTCCGTTTGCAAAAGAGTTTTTTATTTCATTAATTAAGTGAAGTATTGCATGTTCAGTTAAAGTGCTTTCCTGGAATCCAAACTGTTTTGAATAGAATAAGTCATTATCTTAAAAAAATGCATATAACCTATTGAACATAATTCGCTCAAAAATCTTAGAAAAAATGGAAAGTATAGATATTGGTCTATAGTTTCCAATATCCGTTTTATCGCCTGATTTATATTTAGGTTTAACTTTTGCTGATTTAAGTATATCTGGAAAGATACCCTCATTCAGTGAACGTTTACAAATTTTAAATAAAGGCACTTTTAGCTCATTATAACAGTCAATAACAATGTTGCTGTTTATACCATCAATTCCAGAAGATTTATTACGTTTCAAACTTTTAAAAGCTGTTTCGTAATCTTTAAAGGTTAAATTCTTATTTTTAAATTGATTTTTATTGTAATGAAGGTATTCCTTAAATGATTTATTTACATTTGGAATTTTTGCCGCAAGTTTAGGTCTTATATTCACAAAAAAATTGTTAAATTCATTTGCTATATTGTTTTCATTGGCAATAGTTTTATTTTTAATATGTAAGATTTTCGGAAAGAAAGATTTATTGATTTTCGGTTTTCCAATTATTTCATTTAGTACTTACCAAGTTTTCCTAGAATTTAATTGACACTTTGCTGATGCTGATGCTTGTTGTTTTTTAATTGTTATAATTTTTTTGCCATTTATTTTTAAAAGTTAGAAGTAATTAAAAAAAGCTAAAAATTAATATTCACAAAATGTCTTTTGTTATCTTTGTAAAAGTGTTTACAAAGTTAATGTAAGCAAAATTTCTTAGCTTTATGATTAAAAAAAAAATAATCCATTTTATATTCTATAGAAATCAGACAGAAATTTCAATATTTTTATTAAAACAGTTTTTACATTTTTTATTTCATTTTATGCAATCTCATAGATATCTTTTAATTAAACATTTCTATTGAAATTATAAAAGTAATTTTATTTAAATGCTTATTAAAGAGTTGTTTTTTGTCATACATAGTTGTCTTACATGATCTTCTAAATAGTTATTTTTATTGTTATGATTGGTTGCTAGTTAGTAGTTAGCGACCTGCCTAACCAAATCACTGTCGTTAATGTTACAAATTATTTCTAGCTTATAAAGCTAGCTAGTCTTTAACTTATCTGGCTAGCAATTCTTGTGGCCAAATCACTGTCTTTATTGTTACGAGTTGTCGTTAGCTAGTCGCTTGCTTATAAAGCCAGGTAGTCGCTAGCTTAAATAACTAGCTAGTCGCTAGCTTAAATAGGTAGCTAGTCATTAGCTTAAATAGGTAGCTAGTCGCTAGCTTAAATAGGTAGCTATTCACTAGCTTAAATAGGTAGCTAGTCTCTAGTTTAAATAGGTAGCTAGTTGCTAGCTTATTTAACCAGCTAGTCGCTAGCTTAAATAGGTAGCTTATACAGCCAGCTAGTTGTTAGCTTATGTAGCTGGCGATTCTTGCGGCCAAATTGCTGTCTTTATTGTTACGAATATTGCTAGCTAGTCGCTAGCCGTTTTTCCACCGGGTATTAATGAAATAAATCGAAAAACCTCCATTGCTATTTTAGTTGTTCATTATACTAGTTTATGCAAATCAAATGTAAAATAAATTAATCAAATAACCCCTTTGCCTCCCAAATGGATATTGGAATCTAAGCTGTTTTCAAATTCTAAAGGGTTATCTGACAAAACATACTTCCACTAACTCTAAAAGAACTTGAAAAAAAGTGGGACAGAATAATAGCACAAAATTAGGTGCCGTAAAACGGAACTGTCACGAACATACAAATATACCAGTATTATATCGTGTAAAGTTGATCTTATAATACAATTTTCTATAAAATTATATTTTTATAAGTAAAATTTTACACATTTCCATTAACAATAGAAACTATTATAGATATGAAATGTGACAGTAGTTATAAAAACATAAAAACTTAAAAGTTGTAAATAAAAAAGAAAGTATTTTAAAGTATTTTATTATTTAAAGTTACTTTATTTAATACTAAAGTATTTTATTAAATAATTAAAAAGTATATAACTATTTAAAAGTTTAAAAAGGAGAAATATCAAAAATAAATTTTATTAGGATGTTTTCATTGGGTTACATGAATCTATCTTTATTTAAAAGTTACACTTATACTTATTGATATTTTAAATGGTAATACTAATGAGACTGAGCATGAGAAAGAATGAGTCTCGTATCATGATTAATAAGATTTTTGATAAACTACTTCGTTTGAACGCTACCCAGTAACTTTGAGCTGCGTTTTGTATTAAGTACTCCTAT